CTCAAGGCCGTTCAACGGGTTCAACGGAGTTGAATAAATCCCGTTGCGAGTTGAATAGACACACAGTCTGATTGGGCGACGTGCTGCATGATCGGATCGATGCGTGGAGTGTGGCTACGTCCCCCACGCCGCGGTCTGGCCATGCAGAATGCAGACACTACCTTCCCTTCTCCTCTTTCCAATCCCTGCAATCTCGCACTCTTCGCGCACGCATGCATGCTATAAATCTCGTCGTCGCGATTAAATATCTCTCTTAAATTTTTTGGAAGCTCGAGGTTAGCGCGATTAGTGAGGGTCGGCTAATGAGCGAAGTAAGAGGTGAGTTGACATGGGAGTTCGGCCACCCGACGAGTTGGTGCCAAGTGCGCAGGGTTGACGTGTAGGCCATGACGGACTGTGGTGCACGGGCCAACCTGACGGGCGCATGCGGACTACGCGGGGTGACAACTTCGTTGGTGGGTGCGAGACGACGGATTGTCCGCATCGGGAAGGGAGAAAGAGCAGATAGAGATGGGTGTGAGAGTGTAATATTTTTTTGTCATTTCTCAGTCCTTGTATATAAAATTTTGGCTTCAGGTGAGACGCCCCTGTTTTGCATTTCGACGTTTCGTTTGGCTTGCTGTCGTGTGATGTATGGGTTTAATGTCTGTTCTTCCTGTTTTACTTTGTACTAGCTCCATGAGATGGACTTGATGATCTGGTAATGCTTGAATACCCAATGTTTGACGCAATACCCCCGGGATTACCCTGCGCTTGCAACACCGATCTATCCCCACTTGATGATTGGTAGATGAAATAAGTTTGATACTGTTGCGGTGCGTCGATGTATGTCTGAATGGCGATGAGATATCCACAGGCCATGTCAATTTATGAATCAAAGGGAGTTGTGTTGCGTATCCGGGAGGGGGATTTTCCGCCTAATGGCCACATAACTAAAATGGCTCGAACAAAAATGGCTGAGAGATTATTGCATGATTACATGAACCTTCTTTTGCATAGGTGATTGGCTGATAGATCGATCCACAACGGACCAACCCCGCGAGTCCCCGTGTAAGTGCGATCTGACGCGACTTACACGCGCACCCACGAGGCCGGCCCACAACCCCGAATGGACTTAGCACGACAGATCTCGATATGAATGATTGAATCCCCATCTGCGATACGGGTCGGGAGAAATTAAGGTCCCGACACCCTCCGACATACGGGGACCGCTGGGTGTGTATGCTTTGTAAATGACCAGAACGGAACGAGATTGATAGCCTGAGAGAACTAGCTGCATGAAAAGCCGGTACTCTGACGGATCACTCCTCGATTATTTGCGCAATTTAGGATCTAATAAACCGGTCGGTGCGCACGCACCTGTAAGATAGCAGTCGTCCACGAACTTGCCATCTACATGCGCGCCTGCAAAAGCCAACTACGATCTCGCCCCGTAGGAAGATGCGTGTGCATGAATTCAGTTGAACGAAACATGGCGATAGGTTCCCCTTTCTGGATCACCGATCGTGAAAGCCTGAGGGACCCAGAATACCGAGCGTATTGAGAGAGGGAACAGATCCGCCGGCAGCGGATCCGAAAACATCGCCACCTCACCCTGGGCACCTTGAGTACCCCTGCCGGACTGAAAACGAGCGACTGTGCAGGGCGACTTCCAGCTGGCAATCAACCAAGACCCGCGGATTCCCGATTATCCCGACAGCCGAAACCAGCAATATCTTCTAACCCCAGGCTTCGTTGCCATCACCACTGACTTCCCTCCCTACTATACCGTCCTCCCTTACCACCGGTTACTCGTGGCCCCCTGGGATTCCATAGCCCGGTTCTGACCCCGTCCGCCGTGCTCGGAGTGTCGGCAGCCCGACGAGCATCGGCAGGCGAGGATCGCGCAACGAGCCCATCCCAGGACAGAGCGGCGAGAACCCAACTCGTCTTCGTCGGACCTCGAGACTTCCGACGACCGGTAGCGGTATGAGCACTCCCACAGAGACACCCGTAGCACCCCACCCCGGCCCAGGACGCACGATCGATCATCGCCCCAACTCTGAGCCAGAAGGCACTTGCACTCCTACCCCCGAAACTGGCCACAGGTGATCTCAGTTCCGACCTGGGACTCCACCCCAAATCCCAAAAAATCCTTGGCACACCCATTTTCTCACTTCCGGGCCCCCATCCCACTCTGATCAGGAAGTCGCATTGGGCGTGAGGTTGGGCGTCACAGCAGAATTGCACAATGGATTCCGCTAACGACACACAATCGTGTGCATCCATCACTTGTTGCATCAGCTGCCTCTGCCTGCGAGTGAACAATCTCATCCTCAGGCGAGTTGTTGTTCTCTCAATAGAGTCGATACAATAACGCATGGCGGCGATTGACACAGCTGCAACAACCGTGTTTCTCTCCAATGCTGTTAATGCCTTCGCACCACCCGGGAGCGAAAGATCCCTCCATCGTCAGGACTTGCAATGCACAAGCGCCCACCACTTGTTCGCCCGTCGGCGCCCTCCTTGCACCTTCTGCACGCCGATGGGGACTGCTCTCGCACTCTCCACGTTTCACGGAAGCGTTACGTTCGCGCTCAGCTGTGACAGCCCGAAGAGCATGTGGAACACGAAGGCGACATCACAGTAGAGAACCGGTACACATACACACTACGTCGCCCAACATTCTAATGCCCTCCTTTGTAAGCCATGGCCACCATCACTCCTTACAGACGTTTCGCCCGCCTCCAGCTCAGCCGCTAGGACGCCTCACGTGCCGATGCGTCACAATGGAGGGTTCAAAATCTGAAATTTGAATCGAGATGTTGGCGCCCTTTTTTTCTTCAGCCCAGTAGGCCTCCCCGCCACCGCCACTGGACCAAGGCCGAGGATGCACGGACATCCCAGCACGATGACGGACATTCACCCCTGCGGCTGCGTGTATGCGTATGAAATTGGCGGCCGGAGACCTCCAAGGGTTTTCCTTGGGACCCATCGAATTAGGACGCGGACTCAGTCCTAGTTCCTGAGGATTTTCCAAGGAGGGTCTAACGAGGCCCTATGTACCACTCGAAGGTTGAGGTCGAGAACACAATAGTGTAGTGCCACTTCTTCCCCCGAACACAACACCGCGCACTCTTCCCCCGAACATAAAGCACCCTGAAAATGAACGTATGCAAGGCACAACAATCAAAATGAGGGTGCGTTGTGTTCGGGGAAAGACGGTAGTTGCAAATTTAGCGACACTCAAGAGCGCATCTTTCTACACACGCTGTCACATACACACACACAAGCCGGTGAAAGTCCGATGAAACAGTCTGGCACAGTCGCGGAGTTGTGTACAGCAAACATGACAGCACACACACACACACACACACACACACACATCTCCACACGCCCACACACACACATCTCCACACACACACACACATCTCCACACGCACACACACACACACACACACACACACACACACACACACACACACACA